TGCTGTTGTGCAATACTTAATAAATCTGTTGCCAGACTATAAACAAATAAAGTTCAATTTCTTCTCAATGTCATATTTGAAATTTATGAAAATCAATAGGGAGATTACATCAATAGCTATAAATAATTCACCAAAGTTTCATGCGAACTGCTTAAAGCATTTTTGAGTTGTTGTCCAAAAACTGGAAAATCACCCCTTGTTAATGAATAAAACCCCATAACTCAGAAATGTAAAATCTAAAATTTATAAAATTCTAAAGGGAGCTTACGGATTGATAATTTAGTCTTAGATGCAAGATTTTTTTATCAGTTGTTAGTGGCTTTGAACTAGCTGTCAGTAACTGCGAGTACTCTCAGATCTGTACTTAGTGTCTTTTTGTTGTTTTGATGTACAACTACCTGGCCACGTCCACTTGTATTTGTATTTATCCATCTGATGAGTTAAGCCTCTTTCAACTGATTTTTATAGTTCGTTCTTATATTGTACTGTTACACCACTGTCCCAGGTTAGGGCGGGGGGGGGGGGGGATCCCGCTAACATGTTTAACCCCGCCACATTCTGTATGTACATGCATGTGCCTGTCCCAAGTCAGGAGCCTGTAATTCAGTGGTTGTCGTTTGTTTATGTGTTGCATATTTGTTATTCGTTCATTTTTTGTACATAAATTAGGCCATTAGTTTTCTTGAATTGTTTTACATTGTCATTTCGAGGCCTTTTATAGCTGACTGTGCGGTATGGGCTTTGCTCATTGTTGAAGGCCATACTGTGACCTATAGCTGTTAATTTCTGTGTCATTTGGTCTCTTGTGGAGAGTTGTCTCATTGGCAATCATACCACATCTTCTTTTTTATATTTACATCAACAGATATAAACAATTCACCAAAGTCAAGGTGAGACAACAAAACTTAGTTGTAAGATCTCGGAAATTTTTTACACGGTACAAGTTTTTCTCATTGTTGGAGATTGTACGGTGACAGTAACACCTGTAACTGCTTAAACCCATTTCTTATGCAATTTGTTCGATAAACTAACTGAATATCATACCACATCTCCTCATTTTTATATGCATTACAATTTACATGTGCATTCAAATCTGACAGGTGGCAAAAATGTTCATCAGATTTAGATTTATATGCCCTGAAATTTTCAGACAAATCCGACAACCCGTTGTTGGGTTGCTGCCCCTGAGTTAGTTATTTTACAAAAATTTTGCAGTTTTTTGTTATTATCTTAGACATCATTATAATATATAATATCTAATACTATTAATTATGATTTTAACCTTATTTTACATGATTTCCAAAGCATCAGTAAATACAGGTGAGCGACACAGGCTCTTGAGAGCCTCTAGTTTATTGGTGCAGATCTTAAGAAATATTTTATTCCAATTTGCCTTTAATATTTAAGCAAGATATACATCCAAACCTTGAAAATATTGAAGATATCAGGATTGTTTGTGTTGCTAACATAAGAATTTTCCGTCAAAATGTCTGTCAATTTTGTTATGATAGCAATATTTTTTTAAGGTGTTCTTTATCAATGTTTATTTAAAAAATATAATGTGAATAGATCTATTTTTTTGGTCAAAAAGTGTTTACTTATTTAGGTATAACATGTATTCCAAAACAGAACTTCATTGGTGTTGATTTTGTTAAACATAATTTTGGGAATTTTTCAACTTTCTTATTTGGAATCTGCCTTTAGTTGTTTTATGTTGTGTTATTTTAGAACTTGTATTGTGCCAAAGGATGCTTTAGTTTCAGAGATATCCCCGATATAAACCAAAAACTGCATTTTACCCCTATGTTCTATTTTTAACCAAGTCGTCCATGATGGTTGGAAGGTGGGGTCATCAGACAAATTTTTTAAACTAGATACCCTAATAATGATTATGGCCAAGTATGGTTAAATTTGTCTCAGTAGTTTCAGAGAAGAAGATTTTTGTAAAAGATTACAAAAATTTACGAAAAATTGTTAAAAATTGACTATTAAGGGCAATAACTCCTAAAGGGGTCGACTGACAATTTTGGTCATGACAACTTATTTGTAGATCTTACTTTGCTGAACATTATTGCTGTTTACAGTTTATCTCTATCTATAATAATATTCATGATAATAACCAAAAACTGCAAAATTTCCTTAAAATTACCAATTCAGGGGCAGCAACCCAACAACAGGTTGTCAGATTTGTCTGAAAATTTCAGGGCAGATAGATCTTGACCTGATAATCAGTTTTATCCTGTCAAATTTACTCGAAATGCTTTGGTTTCAGAGATATAAGCCAAAATCTACATTTTACCCCTATGCTCTATTTTTAGCCATGGCGGCCATCTTGGTTGGTTGGCGGGATCATCGGACACATTTTTTAAACTAGATACCCTTATGATGATTGTGGCCAAATTTGGTTAAATTTAACCCAGTGGTTTCAGAGGAGAAGATTTTTGTAAAAAGCTAACGACGACGACGACGGAAGACGGACGCTAAGTGATGAGAAAAGCTCACTTGGACCTTCGGGCCAGGTGAGCTAAAAAGGAATTGTAATAACTTTAAAAAAGGATTATCTTGGAGTTGCTAACATAAGATTTGACAGATATGAACAATGCTGCTAACATAAGATTTTACAGAAATGAAGTTGTTGCTAACATAAGAATTGACAGACTTTATTGTTGCTAACATAATATTTGACGGACATTATTGTTGCTAACATAAGATTTGACAGACTAAATAGTGTTGCTAACATAAGATTGTGCTAACATAAATAAATTTGACGGACAATATTAATTTGAGATTTTTAACTAACATTGGAGATCTTATCCTAGTTGAAAGTCATATTAAGAACTCCTGCAAAATACCGCCGCCTGACATTTAACAAGATTTCAACCCAGGACAGATAACTCGAATTTGTAGCACATCCAAATGTTGCTAACATAAGATGACAAGTTTGACAGAACTTATGTTAGCAACAGATTTGATAAAACTATTGATTAAATAAAGTAAATTGAAAGATTCAAAATGTGTATGTTTAATGTACATTATGAAATACAATTTTAACAGGCTTATATAAGTACCTACAACGATGTGGCAAGATTTTATGAACATGTTGCTATCATAACATTTATTGACAGACTAGCATCTAATAAGCAAGGTATTTGAAATTGAAAAAAATATATATCACAGATGTTTTTAACAAAAGAAAAGTAAAATATTTGGAAACAGGGATGTTCCAATAATCAGACTACACTAATAAATACCATTATTCCAGTGTCAACTTAAAGCATTGTAAAACATGAACCTTGTGTCAAAAAATGGGAAGTAATTTCCGTCAAACATTTCACATTTTTCAACTTGTTTTGATCATTTCTACTTTTAATGGAAACAATCATATCCAATAATTGGTTTTCTTGCTTTATTTAACATTACTATTCAATAAAACATTCACATATTATCATTCAAATAACAGTTAGTATTATTTTTCTTAATTTGTTCTTTTTGACGGAAATTTTCTTTTCTTTATGGAATCTGCGTAAATGTTATTTCAGATGAAAGTTTTGTTTCAGTTCCATTCATAGGATTTATTAGAATTTTGTATGTTTTGCCAAGTCCAATAATTCGCTCTATGTGCACGTGTTAATTGGAGACTTTTCTATCCCGTATAAGAGTTTTGGAACTAATTTTGTTTCTTTTTTTGAAAAAAGTTAGCGAACAAATCTTGCACATTTAAACCTTTGTCTGCCATCACACTGTCACCTGGATCACATAGTTGAACTATTCTACATCTTTCAACTATTTCACAGTCACTGGTACAACCAACATATGCATTAGAGACATAGTTGACTAAACCACCAGCAGGCCTCTACATTATCATATTTTCTAACTTGTCCCTTCGGACAAGTTGTAAGAAAATCAACTTGTCCGAACTCTTAACTCACTTGTCCGAATTCAAAATTGAAAATCTTACATATTGAAGGTATGCACCAATAACACTTGTGCTTTGATCGTACCTAATGAAGCCAGGGAGCAATTTGCTAATAGCTATGCTATATGAATTTGTTTGTAACTAAATAAAGAATACCACATCAAAATTCATTTTATTATTTCAGACTGAGTTATCTGACTCAATGTCACTGTCATGTGTCGATCATTAAATCATCATCACTTTAATAAATTACAAATGTAGGACCACCTCCATATGGAGTTTTACCTTAACTTTAAAATTTTAAAGAATAAAAACGTTTTTTCCAACATTTGTATAGATCATATAAATAAACAATAAAAGTGACATGCATGGCATATTTACGGGAACTTTTTAATACAAATTCACTAATATAAGTACCTCAGTTTTATTCATAATTAAAGTATGTTTCATTTGATTTTGCTTTATAATAAAATCTAAAAAGGCACATTTTCTCAGTAGAATGTTTTATGTACTTCATAAACAATTTTTTTGTATCAATGTACTTAAAAATCAAGCTAAAATTATAAAAGCTTGTTTGCCACCATCAATAATTTTAAAAGGTTTATATACAAGATATGGTTCCTATCATCAATGTATTAGTGAAATTCATAGCTTTATTATTTGTCCCATTCAAACACCTGGCCACCTTGTGAATTTCAACTCATTAAAACATGTTAGAGATCGCGATTCCAGTGATCAGGATCTCTCGGGATTTATCCTTTTGATATAAACGCTTCTCCCTGAGAGGTTCGAATGAAATCTTCCCAGCATATTAATATTGGTTTCCTTCCCCCTTACTTATATTCCCCTGGTCAGCCGCTGCAAGCATGTTCAATCAATGACTATATTTCATTTCGCATCATCATTAAAAGAATCTTTCAATATTTTGGGAATTTAAAAGTCTTGAATTTGATATATTTTATAACTGACATCGATTTTTCACTTGTCCCATCGGACAAGTAGTATAGTGAATCTACTTGCCCGACGTCTGTGTCCACTTGTCCCTGACAATCGGACAAGCGGTAATGTCGAGCCCTGACCAGGTGTCGAACATACAAGTATTTTCAGTGTTTCTATTTTTATATGATGAAAAGGTTGCCTGAGCTATAGGAGCCTTAGGTTTTATCACGGGATATTCTGTGCTGTCAATAATAATCCAAGTTGTAGGAAACTTTAATTTGAAGTTGGATGGCGAAAAATACCTGACTAAACCACTAGATGGCCAAGTGTTAGCCTCACACCACTGTTTAGACATAAAAACAATCCATGTATACACAATATTCTTAACACTAGATTCAATCTAGAATCTAGACAGTTCAAAGTTGGTTGTATAATGCCTCAATTTCATCAAAGTCATAAAAATAACTGATTTTCAACTGACACCCTTTCAATTTGAAAATATATGTATCTCAAACAATGTGCTGCTGGACCAAGTGTGGTCAAAACAAATAAAAATTTAGTATACAACTCTAAACCGGTATAAAAATGCATGGCTGTGTCACGTGTCTTCATTTCAAAATTCTCTGCTGAAAACATAGGCATTGATGGTGTTTGCGTAATTCCATCTGTGAAGCTCAACATTAGCTCGGCAGTTGGTGGTGGACAGTCATAAATCCTTTCTGCAGTATGAATGACTTCTTCAGGAAAATCAACTTTACAATCAAAACTTTCCTCTAGATTTCTACTACAATATTCATCAAGTTTAGTTCTTTTGTTTTCACAGGAAACTGCCCTGATTTTTCTTTTTGCGGACGATTCAGTCTCTTGTTTGGTCCAGGAAAATAGGCTGGGAATGGCAGTAGACTTAAGTCTATGTATGGTGGGTTTGAGCCCTGAAAAAGGTTATAAAACATTAGTTTTTTGATAATTAAATGAACTTCCATTAGCAATGTATACTTTGTACTACCTGGCAAAATATTAACTAGATTTATTCATTACAATCTGGATAAAACTATGTTTGCATGATTCAATGTATGTTATGTAAATCCAAAGGACAAACAATGAGAGACTTATGCAACAAACGTACATTGTTTGTACCTAAATAACTATAATATAGATGAGAGCATGTCATTGTTTTGTTCCTGTTAACATTAATTGTCATTGATATTTTTCAAGAAAGTCTATGAGGCATACATTTAGCTTATGCATTCCTGTCATTACTACATTAGCATAATTACTGCTAAAATAATTCTCAGTATGATATACCTCTTGTAAGAAATCATTATAATTGTAGCAATCACCAAAAAATCTCAAACAGATCACATTGAATCGTAATCCAAAAAATTATGACGTCTTGAATTAACCACCCCCTTTTATTCTAAAACGATAATTGCGGTTGTAAACAGACTTTGGTTTATTCGCATGGCGATTACATATATAACTATATATTTCAAAAAGAAAATAGAGTTTTACCATGAATAGTTTCCTGCACGTAGTCTTTTTCAGTAAAATGTGCCTTGCTAACAACAGCTGATTGAGATGGACTCCACGATTTCATCGTGTTCTCGTCCAATCTGTGTATGGGCCATGGCTTTGATCCAACTTTTCCTTCTTTTTAAGTCATTTGGAAATGTATGTCCTCCTCTTAAATGACATCCAGGTACACAACAACAAGTACTTGGCATCGTTAATTAAAAATGTAACTCAAATTGCACAGTGCAGAAACCGGAAGTTGAGGAACAGGATCAGCTACCACGGCACCACCTATTCAGGAACAATAATTTGCTATAACTGCGAATTAACAATAACGTTAAACGGGTTCACGAGCATAAACAGAAATGCGCTTTAAATTGTATAATATAATTCATGTTCAGTCGACCTTTAATTATTATATCAACGACTGAAATGATTTATAAACATCTAGATTGCAGATAAAGCTCGATAACCCGACCTCTTTCCACACGGAATTCAAATAATTCTAGATTGTCAATCGGTTGACTGCTTATAATGCAAAATACAAACATATCAAAAGTTTTTAAAACTAACAAAACACAATGATCGTTTCTCTACTTCCCAATGTAAATGAAATGAAACAAAAAACTTTTTATATCACAATAAGAAGAGGAGAGAATTCAACATTTCCGGATCTACTTGGAGCCTAATGACCCCCCACGTAGAAAAGTTGGATATCGCGGAAGGAAAGATTAACCCGGCAACCAGAAAGGCATTAAAGTTCTGCCTTTAAAAATAGAACAAATAACTCTGGGTGGCCCAGTATCATGTATTGATCGGTATAGACCTGTCTTGTCGGAAAGCTGTTGAGCACAAAACCAATCCATGCAACCAAATATTTCTAAATATTTTAGTACGGGCACCCCAGGAACTTTGTCAGTTTTAAAACGAAAAACTCAGTGTAGATGACAGGGGTAATGTGACTGACAATTCATCCCCCAAAAATGCCAAAATACGACCGGGAAAAGCAGAAAGGAAAATTTATAGTGTCCTGGAAAGAAAGATTCCCCTGGGAAAGGTCGGCTGTGTTGCTGATGAAAAAACGGAGAATATTGACGTTATTTTCCTGAGCACACCAATAAAAGGTCTGCTTTGTATGTGGGAACAACTAATTTAGGATAAGCACCACTGTTTGTTTACCAACAGAATAAAAAGCAGGTCAACAAAAATTAGTAAATACAGTGTATAATGCCGCCTTCAAAACAAGGGACACCCACTTTGTAAATAAGCAGTAAACTCTGATTTTTATGGCATTCTAGGGCTAGCAGGTCAGTTTTGATGGGCTAGCAGTTCTTCCAACAGGGCTAGTAAAATCCTGCTGCAAATAAGTCCTGGGCTAGTTACCTGTAACAAAATGTTTTAACTCCTGTGCCAGGTTCAAATGACATCCCTGATATGTGGTAACATTTAGCTATGACGTTAAATACAAGGTGCCAAAATCATTCATGAAGTTTGGCGGAATTTTATTTTATTACAAATTTAAACATTTTTTTCAATATCTAATGTATCAGGGGCGACATATTACATGTAGTTCTTTCTGTAATGCATTAGAATAAGAATTTAGTTTGTATGCATTAATGTTTTGCTTTATACACCATGAAACAAATTGCCGTTCTGTCAGGGTTGGCAAAGTATTACATGGGACATGAAATCCCAGGTTGGAAAACCAATGGGCTGAGATGGGCAATACTCAGGATTTTGTAAACATTGCTATGAAACAAAGTACTATCAAATCTCGTAAAAATCTCCTGGGCAATTATCAATAATTGACATACAAGATTGTGCCACAGCAGTTGTTTGGGCAAAGGGTAAACAAAACCTGGACAAGGGATTCTGTGGACGGCCAACACTGCCACTGGCAACAGCAACCCTCAAATCTCAATACGAGATTAATTTTACTCAAGTACTGAAGTAGTCCCAGCCTGGTGCATATAAATGCAAAAGTGCAAATGAAGGGATGTTTGTCAGTTCTCAAGCGTAGACTTCTTGCGTGAATAAAATGTTGCTGCACTTACTGTCAGTGACAGTCACAGTGTCACTTTTTTTATCGTAGTTAGGAAAATTGAGTGCCAGTTGCAGAAGAGCTTCGTCAATTTTACGATATTCCCATGGTCTGAAACTAGTTCTTGCACTCATTATACCTAAATCATAAATGCATACAATTTCTTTCTTGACGCAGCTTCATCGTCTTTCACTGACTTGGATTTGTTTCTCAAAAGTTTACATTTTTTTCGCCATATGCCAAAAGCATGGAACTCTGGGTATTTCCCGCGAAAATAACTGTTTCTTTTTACAATATGCCATGAGAGTAAAGGTAAAACAGAAACCAGGAACCAGAAACAAATAAAACATAATCGTAAAAGGATTTGTACTAATTCCGCAATTTTGGGGTTACACTAAAGACCTGAATTTGGACCTGAAAAGACCTGAATAGACCTGAAGATATACTTCTAGATTTATTCAAATTACAATTACTTTTTTATTTTTCAAAGGATTTTCTTCAAGTTAGAATTTTATTAAAGGTAATAATCCACATGATATTAAAATTAAAATGTTTTTAATAAAAAACAAATTGTTCATGCCAAAACTCGGACCTGAACGGAGAAATGAAAAGACCTGAACGGACCTGAAATTCTGCGATCAGACTTATTCAAACTTCAATAACGGTTTTATTTTTCAATGGATTTCCTTCAATTTTAGATTTTGTGAAACGAAAAATTCAATATATTAATAATATTTATAAAGAAATTTTGAAAATTATTTTTGAGGTGTCAAAACTCGGACCTGAACAGGAAATTAAATTACCTGAAAATCTCAGGTCAGATTCATTCAAGTTCTATAACTGTTTTATTTTTCAATCAATCTCCTTGAAATTTGAATTTTGTAATAGAAATGTATGATATTTTATTGAAATGATAGAGAATTTTATAAAATAATATTTGTTTAGGTCCAAAAATAGGACCTTAACGGGGAAATAAAAAGACCTGAATGGGCCTGAAAAATACGGGTAGATGTATTTGAACTGACAGAACTTTTTTTATTTTTCAATTGATTTTATTCTAAATTAAATTGTATTAAAGAGAAAGACTGATTTTATATATATACAGGATTTTTTTAAATGATAAAAACCATGTTCATGTTCAGTTGAAACCGGGAAAACAGGAATGTCCGTGGAAAATTATCCAAACTAATTATCTTCCTTAAATTGTATTTATATAAAATTCTATAAAAACAGGTTTTAAACTGTTATATTTATATATTGAAAATAAAAGTATCATTTGCACATAAACCATGTAATCTAAAGACGTGTGTTCGTCGATTGGAATGTATTAATTACATGAACGTGTGCCGGCTGTAATTCACACCTTGTATAAATATATAAAAAAAGAAGATGTGGTATGATTGCCAATGAGACAACTCTCACAAGAGACCAAACGACATAACGTTAACAAAAATAATATTTGTCATTAATTTTTTTTTCGTTTTGATAAAATATTCAATTTGTTCTATAATAAAATCTTGATTTCAAAGAAATTCTTTGATAAAAAAGAAAATGAAGTTTGAAAAAATATATATAAGTGGAATTTTAGGTCAATTCAGGTTTTTAATTCTTCGTTCGGGGCCGAGATTTGGCACCCAAAACATATTTTTCATTATCTCATTTTTCATTTTAACAAAATGTTGAATTTTCATTTTACAAAATCAAAGTTGAAGGGAATCTATTGAATATCTAAAAAGTTATTGGAGTTTGAATAAGTCCGACCATAGATTTTCAGGTCCGTTCAGGTCTGTTCATGTCTTCGTTCAGGTCCAGGTTTTGGAATAAAAAATGTGTTTGTTATTCGAAAAAATGTATTTCTAATAAAATGTGGAAATTTATCTTTAATAAAATTCTAGCTTGAAGAAAATCCATTGGAAAATAGAGAAGCTATTGTAATTTGAATAAATCGAATAGTATATCTTCAGGTTTATTCAGGTCTTTTCAGGTCCATGATCAGGTCTTTAGTGTAACCCGCAATTTTGATATATTTCTCGTTTTCCTAAGATTTCTTCTCTAAAATTGTCACATGTGTAGATTTGTCTCTGAAATAGTTAAGTCAGTCAATACGATTGTTGTAACTCATCCAGTTACACCACTACACAAGAAAATAGCCAACGAATCAAATTTCAGACCAGTCAATGTCGTGCCTATTTTTCCAAATAAAAATCCAAAATCATATTTTTCAGCAACAACACAGCCAACTTGGAGATTACTTTGATTTTTTTTTAATCCATATATTTGTGCTCTCCGCAGGCGCGTAGCTACGTTTACGTCAAAACTCTCGGGCGTACACATGAATTTTGGAGAAAAAATATTTTAATCTAAATGAATTAAAAGATCTGACTAAATTAAGCACATGTGCCTTGTAGTTCTTTCTCCACTGACTTGTAATTGAAGATAACAGTCGGAAGAAATTTACTTTTTAATCAAATGGTATCATATTTTGTTCGTTTTCTGTCAAAATCTGAATCTACTGTGAATTATCTTCCCTTTCCTATAGTTTAAAGCAATTCATTATGATCTGCTGAGATACGATATGCAGTTTTGTCGAGCCTGCGAGACATTCCGTAATCGGCGTTGGCGTCGTCAATATTTATGTTCAGCCTGTGTTTAAATTTTTTTTAAAACATCAATGAATTTGTAAAACCTTTATGAAATTTTACAGAATATAGGCAGAAACTTTTTTATGATCAAAAGAGTATCCAGAGCGGCATAATTATGAAAATTTACTTTTAATTTTCCGCATTTTACTGAAAAGAACCTTGTTTTTATTAGTTAACAAGTAGATACTGTTTGTTACGCATCAATTACTTTGTCAAAACTTCGTCGAATTTTATGTAAAAATGTTAACACCAACTGTACGATTTTTTTTTTTGCACCAGATGCGCATTTCGAAAATCCAAAACCTAATAAAAACATTGGAAGAGCTGATCAAAATAAAACGTACATAAAGTATAGCTAATTCCGGACAAAGAATCAGAGCTTTGCATGGGGGAGATCTATTCCTTTATTTTTAAATGATTTCAAAACTTTTACAACAGTCAGCAAATTTCAGTCTAAAATATGTTTTTTTTTTCATTTTTCAGTATTTTACCATTTTTTTGGGGCAATTAGCAGACGGTCTTGAATTAAATATTTTTCACCTGCTACATTTGTAAACTTTCATAGATTGTTATGAAACTTGGACAGAAGTTTATCTTCCAAGATCAAGAAAAACATTTAAAGAAAAGTTTGATTTCTTATAAATCCTGTATTTGACTGATAAATGGATTCACTTTTTATAGTTTAACCTGGGACTATTATACTAACTAAGTATAATAGTCCCAGGTTTAACCGATAGCAGCAATCCCAGACGAAACACAGGATTCCACGAAACCCTTTGAGTATGTTTGTATCACACATAACCATCTATGAAGATTTATTATTGTATGTACTTGTCCATTAACGAAATTTGCGCATAAAAGGGGAGAAAACTAGATTAAGTCATAATAATCAAAAGAACGACACCATTGAACATGTAGACTTGCTTTTTTTATATTTCGAAAGGTTTGGATCTTGGGTCGATTGATTGTTTTACCCCACATCTCCTTTTAAACATATTTCATAGTAACAACTATTGACCATTAGATTCCAAATCAACACACTGAATAAATTATACATGAAAAAATCAAGAAATTTGACTTTAAAGTACTAGTATGTTGCTATTGATGAGTTTTAATGACAGAAATAGTATCTCTCTCTCAATAAATCGTTAGCTTCCGTCGGACACCTGCCGGGAGGTCCCTTGCCCTGTACCCGCTAGGGACCCTCAAACCCCTCGCCGAGGTTCGGGCGTACACTTAAAAATGGATTAGCTACGCCACTGCTCCGTCGTGTGGAACTGCTTGAAGTGGTATGCACTTGATAATTTTTAGGCACTGGCTACGATTACCCACAAAAAGTAACAATAAGAAATAATATTGAGACTATAATTGCCGAAATTATGGAATGTGTCTCCGGATAGGAACGGTCAACCTGATTTCATACGGAAACTGCAGGTAACAATACCATCACTTTTTAGTGTTACCTGCAAAATTCTACATTTGCAAATTATTTCTTTTTTTTATGGGGGGGGGGGGGGGTGTTTGTAGCATCGGGCTTTTTTGTACTGTCTTCGTATGGTATAGGGTCCGTTCGCTCCTGATACACGTTCGAACCCTACACGTTCGCACACCAAACGTTCGCCCCCTGAGTTCGTTCGCACCCTATTTTTTTTAGATCAGAGCCTGTCTGAATATAATTAACGGATAACAATAACTGCAGATAACAATAAAAACAAGAGGCTCTCAAGAGCCTGTGTCGCTCACCTGATTCTACTTTGGTTTTGGAAATCATGTAAAAATTGATTAAAATCATAACAGATACCCTAATAATGATTGAGGGCAAATTAAGTTTAATATTGGCCCCGTAATTTTATCAAAATCAGAACTTGAATTACCAATAAATTCATTGAAATTGCAGAAAATGACTTTATAAGGACATTACTCCAACAAGATGTTAATTGACAATTATGCTCATGTTGACTTATGTGTAGATCTTCTTTTCTTGATATTTTTGTAGTTTACAGTATATCTCAATCTATAAAGATACATGAATTTAGGTCTTCATCAGCACTTCATAAGGAACAATTATGCCATGTTTGGTTTCATTCCATTCAGTTCTCCTCTAAAATAAGGATTTGAATGTATTTCCCATAGGGTCTTATGTTAAACTAAGTCCCCTGCTGGCGGCCATCTTGGATGATGGTTCTGCTACAAAGTAACATGCAACACTTGGTCAGCACCTCATAAGGAACTATAGGAACATACACATTCATGCCATGTTTGTTTTCATTCTATTATGTGGTTCTCTAGAAGAAAACATTTGTATGTACTTCCCATGGGTCCTATGTTAAACTTACTCCCCCTGCTGGCAGCCATCTTGGATGACTAATCAGCTACAAAGTAACAACACTTGGTCAGAACCTCAAAATTCATACCATGTTTGGTTTCAATCAAGTAAGCGGTTTTCTAGAAGAAGACATTTGTATATATTTCCCATAGGGTCCTTTGTTAAACTAAGTCCCCTGCTGGCGGCCATCTTGGATGATTGGTCGCCTACAAACTTACATCACTTGGTCAGCACCTCATAAGGAACATTCATGCCATGTTTGGTTTCATTCCATTAAGGTGTTCTCTAAAAGAAG